GGGGGTGCAAAAATTGTAAATGCGGAACTACAAAAGGATCAGTGGCGCAACGAAGGGGCCGAAGGCCCCGAGCCAGGTGCTGGGGGCACGGTGGCAGCGAAGGGTCCACAGTGGGGGCGTGGAAGCGAAGCCCTCAGCCGCTTCGGTGTTTGTAGCGTTTTGTGATGTATTTTAGTGTCTTTTTTGGCACACTTGAGATCTTAATTTTGTATCATGATTTGACAAAATAATCGTAATATATTGTAATTAAGAAAATGCTTTGTTCGTCTGTAACTTAATTTCCTGTCATGTTACACATTGTTTCATTTTTATTACATAAAACAAATTATTAAATAAAATTTTGTTGCATGTGTTATTGGTATTATTGAAAAGACTACACAGAATTATGAAAGGAAATAAAAAATAATAATAATAATAATAATAATTATGTCGGCGTCATTTGATGTCATTAATTCACATTAGGCTGTTGCTTCGACTTACATTTCCCCTGGTACTGTATGCTATGTCCTGTACTGTACGGTATTGCTGTTTAGGGATTTTTTTTTTTTTTTTGCCCGGACATAGTTTAAGGCAAGCGTCAATGAAATTTGATAATTCCAACCATCTACCCATTTTTCCATATTTTTCCTCCATAACAAGTAAGTATTCAAAAATATATATCTTATTAAGCGCTTTTTATCTCATTAACCAAGGTTTTCATAAAAGTTTAAGAATAATAGTAAGACCATGATAACGTTTCTAGTGTTTATTTCACATTTTTTTCCTGTGTAGATACCGGAGTCCGTTTTAATGTCGCAATTCACTGGCACAAAAAGTTTTATGCAGTCCGCTCAATGTGCAAATCATACATTTTGTTGGCCTAATCGAGTTCTACTTGCTGCCCTGAAAATTGTCCATTGTAATACTAGTAAGGACCCACCATTTTAAAGTTTAGAATGTAGAGAATATTTGAAAAAGACCAATTTTCATGTTTCTGTCATTGATGCCAGGGGAGGATTTTTTTTCCACCCTTTTGGAAAGTCAAAAAAAAAAAAAGTAAGAAAGAGAAAGAAAAAAAATTAGCACCTAAAACGCCTCAGAGGTTATTTTCGGGCGTCTAGAAAAGGTTGTCTCGATCAGCCCAATTTCCTCCCCCTCCCCCTTTTGGATATCTCTGGACTGCCCGATGCTGGCATGGTTTTGGCATTGCAGGCCCCAAATACTAAATATGATCATTAAGTGTTCGCACCCCTCTACTCCCCCTCTCCCCTCCCCCACCAAAACTAGCTGCCTGCATCCCTTTACACTAAAAAAATTGTACTGTAATTAAAATGCGTACTTTAGCTTGAACGTCCTGATAACTTGCCACGTATAGCAAAAACCACATCAAAGTACTGAAAGTCGTTTCAGCCCCGGCTATAAATATCGTCAAAATAGAAGACCAAATATGCTCAGGGTCAGTGTAGGACTTCTCTTCATCACTGCTGATCTGCACTTCTGAAAGCATTCTGTCTATGATATCTCTAATATTGTCGGGATCAAATGTCTCTTTATGTTGTTTTACCTGATTCTTAAGGAAATTGATCAAGTAAAGTGAAGGTATTCTCTTGTGCCTGAACATTGGTAAGTTCATAATGGATGGTATATGCATTTCAATGTTGCTCAGATTGCACTGTCTGAAGAAGGCGAGTAAATTCTTAAGTAGTTCTGTAAACTCTGGATCCAAGTAGTCATAACGCTGGCCAAAGGATATGGAGCAGATTATGTTGGCCACGGCACAGTTGACGAAATGCTTCGGATCGAAAGGTTGGGACTTGAATTTAGCGGCCTCTTGGCAAAAAATGTCTGCCTCTGCATTTATCTGTTTCTCTAGACTTCTCTTGCCCATTCCAAAATGACGCAATGCACTAAGCATCCACCGTCTCTTGGTTTTCCAGGCTGGGCCATTTTCCCAAACAATGCTTCCTGTATATACAAACAAAAGAAATTGTTTTGATTTTAAATATTTACAAACAATTTCTAATGTATTTAGAACAAAATGTTATTAAAAAGACAGAATGTAGAATGATCACTCCGGCTCAAATCAGCCAGAAATTTCAAAGTTTCCTTGTGATCCCCCTTGGATTTTCCTTTTAAAAAATTCCAAAAATACCATACCTTGATATGTCGAAAGCAAGAATCCAAAATTTCAGCTTCTATTTCCAATCGATTTTTAAGTTATGGCCTTTGGAATTTTGGGACCACGGCTCCTATAACTTTTGTGCAGGTTTTTTTAGAAGCTATCTTCTGGAATAATAAAGTTAAAAAGTTGAAAATTGCTACATATACTGACATTTGGCCTCTCTGTCAGGAAATATCATTCACACTTTGGTAGCACATTTTATATACGATACAGTGCAATAACAGAGACTTTTCTTTATATATTTAGTATGTGGATGATCAACTATTAAGGTACTGTATCATTTGATCCATGGTGATAAAATTTTAATTTTCAAGTGAGAAGCGCTCAGTCAGATATTATGGAACCAGTTATGAAAAAATGTAATACATATAAGGTTGCAGATTCACATAATTTTTTTTTAAAGTGAATTTTTAAAACAACCATTTTTAAATTATACATACCAATTAAGAGACAAAGTTTATTATGCCTATTTTTAAAGGATAAAAACATTAAATTAGACCATCATTATGCTCAAGAATCTAAACGTACTACCGTACTGTAGGTCAGAATATTTCAACAATTATATTTGACATGTATGTGTTTGAATTATGTTTGACATGTATATATTGAAAACATGATTTTTAAATACCATAGCACCGCTCTTGAATAACGGCACTCTGGAATAAGCGCCGACCGGCCGTGTGAATAACTTCAAAATGGTTATTCGCACGGCATGCCGTGCGAAAAACTCCAAAACGTTCATTTGCACAGCACGGCAATATTCGCGTTATTTTATGCATATTTTAAAAAATAAGTAAAGATATGTAGCCTAAATAAGAAGTAAATATAATATATAATTATAGGCCTATAAGTATTATATAGAATTTATATTTTATATAAATATATATAATAATAATAATAATAATAATAACAATAATAATAATAATAATAATAATAATAATAATAGATGGATTTATATAGCGCAAATAAACGAGGTCTCTACAGTACGGTATGCGCTCGGGACTAGATGTTGCAGTTTTCATTAACTTTCTCCTCCCCTGAGGGTCACTTCATGTCCTCTGCAGCCAGTAAACCGGCCCACTTTCATCTGTCCACGACAGGGCCCGAGTGAACCATTACACACTGGGGTAACCACCTACTCATCTCGAAAGATGTACTGGGTTCTTTAAAGTGCACATGAGCATTTGTGTACACTAGGCTTACGGTTTATAGTCCTTATACGAGAAGACTTGTTCCACCACCAGAAATATTAGGAGCGAGCCGGCCGCGAAACCGTGCCGATATTGTTGACTATGATCACGTTGCCCCTACCTTAACCGCTCGGCCATTTTGCCTAAATATATTTAAGATATATTAAAAATATATTTAATATATATATTAATGTATATAAATATATATATAATAAATATATATATATATATATATACTGTATAAATATAAATATTTAAATATTTATATATATAAATATTATAATATTTATAATATTTATATATATAAATATTATAAATAATAAATATATATAGCAAATAAATAAATATATTAAAGTATATTTTCGATCGATATAAATATATGTATATATATAAATTTTTTTTAAATATATTTTTTTAAGATATATTTATTTTTTTAAGATATATTGAAAATATATTTAAGATATACATAAATATATATATATTCATTATTCCTTCACTCAGAGCCTAGCACCTGATGATTGAGGTACCCCTCATGAAACAGCCTGTAGTGCAATAAAATGTTGAGTCTTTAACCCAGTGTTTCATGTTTTATTTGTATATATATATATATAAATATATAATATATATATACATGTATATAAATATATATACATATATGTATATATATATATGTATATGTATATATATATATACATATATACATGCACTGAATGCACAAAATTGGCAGTTGCAGGTTGTACACTACTGCGCAATATAAGCAATACAATACTGTAGTAATGTAGACGGATTATAGGCCAATTATCTAATAGTTTATGCTGTAATGTACAAAGTGAAATCCCACAGAGATCAAAGCGGTCAAGTATTGAGATAGTGGTGTTAAAGATAGAATAAACTATATAC